GCGGACGCCTCAGAGAGCGCATTTCAGAGGCCCAGGCAAACGCACTTGGCAGCATGTGAGGTGGATGAACCCGAAACAGAACAACACAGGTGGCATTTCTCAGAGAGTTCCGGGGGACTCTCATGTGAGCTCAAGAGGCGTTCCACTTGCACCCCGAAGGGTCTCTTGGCCAGACGGGCCCAAAGTAGCTTGACAGGTGTCTCGGATGCAGACTCCGTATCAGCTTATCTGTCCCAAGAGGCGGTGGGTGGGGAGTATGGTGTTTTCCAATTTCTCTCCCCACCCCCACTCACTCAGCCCTGGGGTTTCAAAGGGCGAACGCTGGAAATGCCAATATACGGCTTGATCAAGATTTTCTTTCAGGTGCATAGATTTTCCCACTCGTGTTTATTTGAAAGGCCTGATAACTAACTCATTCCTCTCTCGCAGGAGGCTTTCTCTTCCTATGGGTTACCTTAGCTTCAGCTGCTGTAAGAGAACCCCACAGACTGGGCGTCTGACACCGTGGACAATGACCTCCCACAGTTCTGGAGGCTGGAGGTCCACGCTCAGGGCTCTGACGAGGGCCCCGTCCCGGCCTGCAGATGGCTGCGTCCTCGCCGTGGGCTTGCCGTCACCCAGTTACAGAGGGGCAGGACTGAGATTTGAATCTGAGTTCAGATAAATGAAAATTCTAAAAACTCACCCCTCGACCTCTATCCCCATCTCACCCCAAACCCGTTCCCCACCAGGGAGAGCCCCCGGCTTCGGCGGGAAAGTTCAGTGGATTCCAGAACCACCTCAGAACCAGGTGAGCGGAGGCGGGGTGGGTGGTGACTCTGAGCACCCCCCATCTGATAGCTGTCATCACAGCCAGTGAGGTCGTGCCAGGAACAGCGGAAGGGGGCGGCACAAGCATAGGTCAGGGACAGTTCCCTGGGAAGGACCGAGGGTGGGGGACGGCATTCTGCAGGGCAGGGATACCCTACCGCAAAGGTTTGGGGGGTGGGCCGGCCAAGGTGCTTGGGAAAGACCAGCTGTTCCCCTTCAGACGCCCCCAGGCAAAGCGGCTATGACATCTACAGGGTGTCCAGCCGTCAGAGCATGGAGGACCGTGGGTATGTATACCCCAGAAAAAAATCCTACCAACCCGAGATTCCCACACCCCCTGGGGCACATTCCCACACGTTTGTTGATGGGACCACCGCAGGTCCGGGGGGCTGTCTGGGAAACCGAGGCCCGGAGGGGTTGGGGCCCCCCCCAGGACGACGGGCCC